TATTATCTGCTGTAGTGGTATTTTTTTAATTATGGGAAATCGACTAAAAAATAACATTGTCTAGCAACAAAGAAAACAGATGCAAACAAAAGAGAAACAGAGTGACTGTTCTGCTTTTCATATTGTATACTTCTAGTTTCAGGTAAACTGAATAAAACTAAAGCAACAAACAAGTTAAAATGAACTAGTTAATCAACCTCCCAACAATGAGTTGACACTGGGACTCCAGGTCAATCCAGAAGTCGGTTTGTTTTCTTGGTTTGCTGGTTTTTGGTTTGGCTCTCTTTTTTTTGTGTGTGTGGGTTTTTGTTTTTTTTTGGTTTTTTTTTTTGTTTGTTTTTTTTTTTTAGTTTTTTTTGGGTTTTTTTGTTTTTTTTTTTTAATTGAAAAAGCATCTGAGATTCATTAAGTTATTCTAAGGATATATAACTTTATACTTCAATGTTTTAAACTTAGCCATTAATTTAGAGAACGAACATTTATTATTTGCCCCTTCAGCCAATTTTTGCTTTTGACTTAAAAGACTTAAACTTTTGAATTTTATTAAAGCTACACAATGAAAAATTATCAATTCAGAATCTGGGATATTCTGAAGAATTACATGGTTTTCTTGTTATTTGTATAACAATTTATAAGTTATGTCATGATAATACACTACATGGCACCATCAAGCTGTTAGTAACAATGTTGATATAGACAAGTTCTGCATTTAACTTTGCAAGATAAGAATAGGAAAAAATGATAACGAAAGAAAAAAGTGTCAAGGGATGTTAATCACCTCAATTTGTGATTCTTGGCAGAAGCACCTTGAGATTTCTCTCATGGGTCTAGTCTTAGGAATACATTACACTTAAAGAATTAAATGATATAGAATAAAACCATATTTTCACCATGATTTAATTCATTGCACCTGTATTTTGTCAAGCCATATACTCATCCACTTACAGATCTGGTGAAAATACGTAAGAAAGCTGCACAGATCTAGCTAGAGTTTCAGAGAGTTAAAAACTATTTAAAAATTTATACGCTCCCATTGACCATGACTTACTAGAAATTCCTTTTCTCTAAAGGTGTTCTTAAAAGCTACATAATTACCATGCTAAGAGAAACAAAAGTAGCAAGTTAAGTTATACACAGCCAATAAAAAATGTTACTGATGGCTTATTTAAAGCGGCAGCAAGAGGTATCTAAAAATCTTGTAGTCATCTAAACAACAGTCAATAGGAGGACTTTGAAGACTTAATATTGTCTTGGAATGAGAAATACATTTGAGCTGTGAAAGTTGCAAGAAGGCCACGTCAGCAGTAACCAATGAATGGAGTAATTTGTTGTACCTCTGGTACTTGGAGTGTGGGATTTGGCATCTCCATACAGTCAGAACGAAATGTTCTGACCCTTCAATCAGAACTAAGTCCACGATTGTTGTACTGTGCATGTCTTATGATTCCTGATTTGCCTCTTCTGCAACACTTAGGAAAGTGGCTGAAAGCAGTATTTTTTAGCATGTTGCAACTAACCGTGAAACGGAGGTCAAAGGACGGGCTAGGCGATGGTAGCAACATTAGTAACTTTCTCTTCTGAAGCAAATGTCACAGTCTGCTCTGATACAACATGATCAAAGACACTGCTCACATTTCCACTGTAAAAATTTAGGGATTCCAGTGTAACTCATACACCATCATTTTCAGATAAACAGCCCAAACAGGTCACTAAATGCTGAGGCCTCAGATCTGTCTTTACTGAATTTAGCAACTATTCAAGCAATAATCTAGCACTTTTCATCTAGAATAAAAATAAGAATATTTGTAAATATTGCAATAAGAATTATTGCAAAGAAAAGTCTACTGGCTTTTGTCATAGGAAAAAATGAGGATTTGACAAAAGAAGATGTAAATAAGAGGTATCCCATCCTGTCTCTACAAATTCTGAGAGGATAACAAAGCAAGGAGTAAGGAGCAGCAGCTCTTGAGGAATTGTCAAAAATAATTTTTCTATTTAATTTCCTTTATAAGAATGTAATGGACCCTGCAGACTAGAGACTGAGTCAATAAACCAGAAAATCTAGTCATCAGAAGAATATAGAAGAGGAATAATGAGTTTGGGTCAGATGAAAGAGTCCACTCAGCCCAGTGTCCTTTCTGTCACAGCCACAGCAGTTGTTTACGTAAGAATGTAAAGCCAGGGCAAATGCACAGTGATATGCATGTATCAGTATGGCCTTGTATTGGGTTTGCATGGCAAGACTTTGGAAGGGGGGGCTACTGGATAGATTCTGTGAGAAGCTGCCAGAAGCTTCCCCCATATCCCACAGAGGCAATTCCAGACAGCTCTGAGATAGACCCACTGCTGGCCAAGGCTGAGCCCAGAAGCAACAGTGGTAGCACCTCTGGGATAACAGGTTTGAGAATGGAAAAAAAACCCTCAAAATTGAACTCTCAGATGTTATCACACTGACTCTTCGCTGTTCAGGATAGAGTAAACAAACAAGGGTGGGAACTATCACTGCATACATACAGGAACTCAGCACAGGCTAAATTATCTATGTAGTGTCATTACAAACTTGCACAGATTCAAGAAAGAACCCAGAAAATAAGACAAAAAATGATCTTGTTCCCAAAAAAATAGAATGCATTGTCCACGGGAAATCCAGTGGAGTTAGAATCACCCAGCGACATTATTCAAATAGGTTTTGAAAAAGAGCAAAATGGAAATGTAGCAGGCTATAATGGCAATGTGCCTAAAGTTCCCAGAGTACATTTTAGCCCCACAAGTCATATTCTGTGTACTTCTGAGTTTCAGGACCCTGTCAGGAGACGATGTAATTTCTTGATCTCAGTTAAGCATTTCAGCAGCGGGAAATTATACGAGTAGAAGATGCAAAAATACTTTTTACAAGATGCTCCAGGGAACATAAGAAACCAAACAATGTTCCTTGCTTTACTAGAGTACGTTCCTTGCACAAGAAAGGTCCTTTTATTATGGCAGGTTGTTTATCATCTCTATATTGAATGAGAAACCTAAAGGTTTCCAATATTTTTTTCTTCTGTCATTTAATCCTAGAACAACACAAGTCTTTAAGCCAGTTTCATTCTCTCCCTCTTGAGGAGTGGCTTCATGGCTCCTGCTGCAACCCATTAGATTTCATAGCTGATTCAGAGCCCACCACTGCTCCTGCCCACTGTGATGGAGAACTTGCTGTAGTAAATGGATACAGCAGTGCAAAGATCATGGGAAGCTTATCCTTTTGTTTTTAATTTCCCCCCTAAGGGCAATTTGTTCCAATTAGTGCCTCAGCTAGCAATTATTATTGCACAGTACTCTGACTTATTTCTGTTAGGACTGACTGAGTCAAAGTTAGGGGATCTCTTGTGTGATGTAATATATACCCTGGTCTAGTGCTCTTGCAACAGAGAAGATCGTGGCCATGCTCTCTGGAAAAGAACTTTCCTCACTTTCTGATTTGGCTCACTCTCCCATGGTACACAGGAATAATTTTAAACAGTAGTTTTTCTTTGCCATAAGAGTATGTGTACCTAATGCATAGGAGAAAAACAGCGTGCACAAATGTGCATGAATGTTTTTTGGTTGTTGGTATTGCTTTGTCTTGTCTGGGTGCCGACCATTCCTCACAGACAGGTCTCTCAGTGGATCCAGCAGCTGGCACTCCCGGAGGGAGCACTGCACTGCACGGCACACGCATGCGAGAGCCTCCCCTCACAGCACGCACCAGCTCCTTTTGCTTTTTCCTGTTTTCCTAAGTGAGTACAAACCAAACCCAGAGACTTATGGAACAGTGGTGGTTTTATCCCATATCCAAAAATTAAGGTACATCAGTACACACAGTGAAATATTTCAGCCCAAAAGCTTAATTAGAATAGAAAATTTTAATGATGTAATGTAGAAAGAGTCTTGCCAGAACTTTGACATGTTTCATGTTTCTGGCATTGAACATTTTATTTAAAGGAAAAGGTCCCACAATGATGGAGACCTAATCATGGCTGCAAGGAAATGCAAATGAGAATTAGTCCTTAATCTCTTTGGTTCCCTAGCAGAAAGGTTTTTCTGATCATCTTGCTGTAAGTGAGAGAAGGCTCTCACACAAAAATCAGAAATAGTCCATAGGTTCTGGGAGAGGCTTAGCATAAAAAGAGACAGGAGAAAACCTTACCTAAAAACTATTTGGTTCCACTCTAAGGAAGTAATACACCTTAAACTAGCTCCTTATAGCTCCCCATTAACTTTCTCAAAGCTAAACATTGGATAAACATTAAAAAATTAACCCATATTATGCATATAATTTTCTTCAAAGAGGGTGGTTCTGTTCAAAATGAAGAAACTTGGTATCACTATTCACAAAGACAAAACAAAACAAAATGAAAAACCCCCATATCCCTTTTGGAGCATGGGTCCCTGAGGACTGTCAGATAACATATATTCACACAACCCTCTGGGCTCATTTGTTTACTTATTTGTGTAGTTTGGCTTACAGCCATACAGCAAAAGTACTAAATAAAGAGCAACTTATTTAGTCAATTACAGACAACATTAAAATCAAACAGATGTATACAAAATAAAGAAATTAGAAATACATAGTCATCTTTGCCAAACATGACAAATAACAGGAGATACAACCCAGGCTACAATTATATCAGTTAAATTATATCTTATGGCAGCTTCGGATTTCCTTAAACTAGTTACAAATATACTGTGCCTCTGATGATACTGTCATTGAAGATGCCTCTTGCATTAATACAGTTCTTACTTTTTTGCCTCTTTCATCTTATAAACGTGAAATAGGTAGGAGTAAATAGTTTGCTAAGTAATAGAGAGGCTGTGGAAAAAATTGGGTTACTTTTCTGATGCCATTATAACATATTAGGAAGTAAAGGTTATTATGTGAACTATTTTGCTTAATGACTAGATGCTTATGTCATGAGAATTGTGACCTGTTTTAATGGGAGAAATATTTTTTTGATAATGTGAATAATATACAAGGGTTTGGTTTGTCAGTGTGATCACAAGAGAACAGTACTTGGTGAAGAAGTAAAAAATATACCTGTGAATACAGGTATATAGCTAAATGGAATGCATTTTAGAGATCCATATCCTTTAGACTATGGACACGCTTCCTTAGTATTGTGATAGTGACTGCTTTGTGACTGCACAACAGTGCCTGTGAAGGTGAGCAGAATTGCCTTGATTTGTATGGCACCAGGATAGTTTGCCTGGACTGTAAAATCTGCACTAATCTACCTACATTTAAGATGCTTGGCTGGTTAGAAATATAAACCCCTCATGAACATGTGTTTAGAAGGCATAAACAATGCTAAAGCTGGTTATGCTTGTATCAGTACATTACTATATTAATCTGAACCAAATCTTGGTTTGGTTATACCATCACATGAACAGCAGTAAAAGAGAAATTAAGAAAATTACATCTGCTTCTCCAAAGCAGTGATCCCTAACTGCGTATGTATTTCTTGTACAGAGAAAATCAGTAGCGATTTGCTTAAATAAATGCCTTTTGCTTTGAATTGAAATGGATCAGGAATACATGGTTTCAGCCCTTCTCATACTGACATGACCTAAGTTGTAAATCCCTATAAACCACATTAAACAAACACATTTTTTTCAGCAATTCAGCAGTGTTTTGTCATTTCAGAACGTCCTGAGATGCAAAGCTGCCACCCAGACGGGTCTGAACCAGCTCACATCTAAGGTTTGATTTCATCCTCTAAAGTCAAGGTGAGGTTGCAGAGTTCCCAATGGGATATGAAGTTTTCAAAATACGAGGCTGACATGAATGCTGGCAACATTTAGGACCATTTAACTTACAGTCAGGAGAAAAGAAAATTCCATGAGGTGGTAGAGTGAATATCCCTGCAGGATGATGACAGTTCAGAGGAAATCCAGATGCATTTGCGTGTGGGAAACTTCTGTAAACAAGTTCTGCACTCCAGCAAAGAAATAAATGTCAAGGTAAGCTTGGCTAGCGACAAAAAAGGATGAGTCATATTTCTCCAATTTCATTCCAAAGATGCTATCTTTCACCTCCCTCAGAACTGTAGTCACAAGACTGACAATGTTGCTGCTCCTTTATGGGAAACGGTATTCAAACACTGCAGATAAATGATTGAGCAGAGCCCTACAGTAATTTTTCACACATACTTTGTTTTTATTACCAAAATCTGGAAGGAATAAGTTTCCATATGCAGCAATCAATGTGCAATTGCCTATCTAAAATGTTTGTAAATCACTCCCATGCCATGCTTTTAGTTGATATTTTCATATTAAAATATATAGGATGAGTTAATTTTATGACAAGCTTCTTACTAAGAAATTAATGGAAAATGTTATGTCCATCTTGCAAAAGAAGAAATGGAGGCAGCATCACTGAACCCACATTTCCAAGCAATCATTTTCTTTGAGTTGTTTAACTTCTGATTAACCAAATTGATGTGCCTTGAAAACTCATTTTTAAGACTGCTGTGCACTTTGATTAGTCAACAGGATCTGTATGCACCTGGCAGGTCTGAAGTTCAGGCCAACTACTCAGAAATCAAGGAATGAGAAATAAAAGGCCACTTTTGCAAAGATTAGAAGATTACATGTGATGTCTGGCACACTTAGCCCAGGACTAAAACCAGTCCCTTAGCTCTCAAGCCAGAGAATCAGCACAGTGATTGTCATTCCTGCTAGTGCTGTTGAGTAGTATTATTGTTTTCCTAGAAGAAGCATAGAAAGTAATTTTGTCTAGCTCATCCCTGTTCTCTACTGTTTCTTCATCTGGCTCATTAACATTTTTTCCTCTGGAATGATTGATTATTTTTACTTTAGTGAACAGAAGTCAGTCCATGATACAAAGATATTAATTATTAATTAGTTAATTACTGTGATATTAAATTGAGAACCCAGCAGTTTATAAAAGGGTTTCAGTTGAGTTCATCGGTAGTTTATGCTAATTAGATCTCTAGGTGAAACTTTATATATAATGGATTCCTTTCCTCTCATGACCTAAAGTGTTGCCATTTCTGTTTTCAATTAATTCTTCTAGAAACTGAAACACAAAGAAGAGTTTAGTGTTCATAGAAGAAATTCAGTTTGAATCTTTTTATGCCTAATATGTCAAGATAGTGATTTTTTCATTCTGTCCAAGTAAGGTTTTTAGACAAAAAGATTCCAGATCGTTGCTTATTAAAAATTACATTTATTCTTATCCCTATTCTCCTGTGATTACTCTTGCAAATACTGATCCTCAAAAATGTAGCAAAGTGTTCTAATGACATGGCTATCTGCCTATTGTCAAAGCTAAGTGCAAGAAAGAGAAGTGTCCTGAAAAGCCATTTGGAAACCTTATGGTAAACAATCTCCAAGCTAGTGATAAAAACGTTTCCAAGACATCTATCTTGGTGTTTCTGGTTCAGAAATCTCCCAAAACTGTGTTTCTGTATTTAGGAGATTTCTCTTGGTTATGAAGAAATCAAAAATATTTCCTACAGCCCTAGTTTTGGGGCCTTCAGTTTCACCATTCCTAGGGACCCTGAGTAAGTAGAGATGTGAAAGTGAGAAACACTAACAGCCAGAGGTGTAACCTTGGTTCAGAGAAACTCTGATCCTGTCTACACAGATTCATTCAACCTTGCTTTCTCATGCTTAGCAATGTGATTCCTTCAGCTATGTCTCTGCACAACTCCTTAAGTGACTGGGGTGACAAGACCCCATGAAACTATCAGCCCCTATATGATAACAACCAAATAACATCTTCCCTTACATTTTCCGTCCCCCATCACCTTTTTTCCCAGCCTACTTTTCATATATCTCCTCCTCTGCATTTCCATATGTGGGTTTGTATCATTTCCCTTCTTCCCGACAGTCTCTCTCATAGTGTCTTTATCCTGACTCTTTAAATGTTGGAAGAAACAGGCAAGTGAATTTGACCTGTCAAATCCATAGCCACGTCCTGTAACCATGAGGTGTGTTTACTGTGCCCTCCCTCTGTTCCTTTTGCCCACTTACCCAGTGTCAGATCAAACTTTCTGCATGGAACTCATCTCTCCTGGCTTCAGACAGGAAACCCTGAGCCAACTTCCCAAGGTTCTTCCTTACAGAAGAAAGAAACAGGTGCCTGGAGTCATGATTTATCTCAGGCTTTTTAAATGCCTACCTCTGGATGAAACTACTTGTAAGACCTTCTTTCTCTCCTCTGACTAGAAGGGAAACCCAGATAACCAGCTCAACAACTGAGAGTCCTGTCTGGGATACTTACATTTGGCCAGAAAGATCTTTAGCAGTCCTGCCCCATGTAGACCGGTGTCAGAAAATGGGAATTTGAAATAGGAAGATGGTGAAAACCACAATTCCAGCTCTAAACAGAAAAAAACCAATAAATACTTAGAGCTGGAAGTACCAATAAACTATGTACTGTTGCATGGTTTTCAAGCATTTGACCTTTTTAAGATGGAAATTTGTAAGTTATACATAAAATAAAGTTTAAAAAAACATACATATCAACAAAAACTATAATACCCAGAATGATCTAATAGAAAAACCTTTTACGCTGTGAGTTAGGCTTGATGCTTTAGATGTTACAGCTGCCACTCTTCATACAGTTTCTGAACTATAAAGATGGGATTTATGGCCTTACAAGCATGAAGGTGAGGAATCATAATAAAAATAAGCATACTGATTCACATGAAAAGCATGTGCCAAATAAAGCCTTAAATCATTTTATGCAGCCTGTCATTCAAACATATTTGACTGTCATCCAAATTGCTGGAATTGTCCCTCACACAGAAAAAACCTACCCCTATGTTTATTTTTAGGATAATTGGAAGAGCAACATATTATCTTCAAATTAATGAATAGGTCAAGTTGTTTTTATAAGCTTAATAATATTTTCCATTGTCCCTCCTTCCTTAACACCTATCTTCATTGCCTAATCATTCACATACTTTATTTTTTTGAGTTTGGGTGAGTCAGGAAGTGCACATTATGATGATAAATATATCATCTCTACTTCCTTTTAATGTGAACTCAGTGGTGTGATTCACACCGTAAACCTATTCTACTCATTCTGTCCTTTGTTCATAACCTTGACTCTGTTAACAGCAACAGTACTGCTGGAATCACATGTTTCTACTTAAAAGCTAACATAAAGGTCTTATCTGCTTTACATTCTATAAATTCTGTCTGACACATTTTTTTCCTATGACTCCAGCTATTCATTTGAAATCACAAAACTTATTGTAACGCAAGCTGAAGAAACTCACCTTAAATATGAAGGTGATATTTTCCCCTCTATGATGCCATTTAACTGATTTGTTTGAGTCAATTAAATATTGTAAAGGATATACAAAAATCTTTTTCTTTCTTTTACAGCTTAGTTCACAATCTCAAGCTCTGCAGGGACTGTTTTCCAGCGCTATGTTAGAAAATCAATACACTCTATGTGTGTTGCCCAAACAGAATCCCACTGGGTGCTCTCCTGCTCAGCCCCAAAGACTACACCTATATTCTCACCATCCCTGATACCCAGAGTGTGCACTTTACTTCTCCAGTTTCAAGTGAGTAACAAATGACTTTGCAGTAGCTCTGAGAGTGCAGTGGCTGGTGATCCTGACTGAGAGCAATTACGTGTATGGCATTAAAGCAACATGTAGCTGAGCCATAATAATCTAAAGATAGAAATACATCATTATGTGTGCTTGTGTCTGAATAGCAAGGGAACATAAGATCTTCCTTAAGAGGAAGTTATTGGAAAGTTAAAGTAAAAAGCAACACAGTAAAAGATGTTTTCTATGCAGTCCTTTCAGGAGGCTCCATTGTGACATTAAATCACTGATGTTTGTGTTCTCAGAAAAAGACAATGATTAGAAGTTGGTGGTTAATTATAAGGTGGATAGAAAACGGTGAGATCATTTGGAAGTGAACAGAAAAGCACATAGACATGTTGTGGGAGATTCTGAAAGCAGAAAGATTAGTTTATCAGCTTCCAGTCATAGAAAAGACAAGCAAATGCAGAGACTGTTTCTTGTATCTACAGGGGAAGTTTTGTTGTTTTTCTTCCTAATTTCAGATAAAATATTTTGTCCAGTGAGAAACAATAACCAATGTCCTGCCTTTGCATTCAGGGTTGAATATATGCCAGATTTATTTGAAAGGGTCACATGACAAGACCTACTGAATGCAAATCTGCTAAGGCAGCCAGACTGAATAGCTCTAGCCCACAGATCTTGTTCCATGCCTAGACCAGGAAATTGAATGGCAAATTGAGGAACGTCTCTTTCACTCAAGCAAATGGCAATCTCACTATTAACTTCCATGGCTCAAGACATGCACAATAATTAAAGCACCTACTGGGACCTGCTTTTTAAGCATCTTTGACCACAGATCTTTGAACATCTTTGATTGCCATTTTGTTTGTGATGTTTTAACAGTGGTAAAACTTAATTTTCCATTTTCATTCAAGGCTGGAGTAAGTTTTAACATAACTCAAATTCCTATGGCTAATTTTAATATTAAGATTAAACAAGGAAGTGTTGTTCTACTTGAAAACCTCCTTTCCATGGAAACCTCATTTATAGCATAATGTAAGAAAGAGACCAGGGGTATCTAAACACTCACTATCCTGTTTATTATGGTTATCAGCTGAAGACTGGTGTATATTTATTAGAGAATTGTTATTTGTTCTGGTGCAGCTCACCTACCTGGACCTTTTTTCTTTCAGGATGACCACTGCCTGCTATCCTGGCTTGAGAGGAGCACAGTACACAAAATCAGCTATTTCTGTACCTGTGAGAGATAGACCACCCGTGATGCCTTGCCAGCCTGTCTGGAGACACGGCATTCTCCCACCCCTGGCCCTGGCTCCTCTGGCACTCAGCCACCATTCTGCAGCAGGTCTGACTGGATCTGATGTCTGCCAGAGACTGTTCAGCAGCCGGGCCCCGGAGGTAAGAGCAGTGACTGAGAAAGGCTTCTCCCAAGTAAAATATGACTTATACATAGGGACAGAGCACTTGGGGAGAAAAATGTTAATGTGAGATGAGCTGATGTCTCACCTGAAAGATCTACAGGCCTAACACTTCCTTGGACTCCCTTTTCTGGGTGGAAATACCCCTGAAGGACTTCAGTTTTCTTAGCTTCAGAGCAGAGATCTTTATAACAAGGCAATGCCTCTGCTTTGTGTGTTTGTGAGCTCGTTTTGCCAAGCTCGTCTGGTGAAGAAACTAATGGACACTGGAAACATTCCTGTGACCGCCCTGCTTCGTGTACTGCATGCTGCACATCAGCACAAGAGGAGTCCCTGCTTCTAAAACTGAACTCTCTTAACAACCTCATTTACCAGGACACCGAGCTGGCAAATCAGTTGCACACGACTTGCCTGGCTGTGCTGCGTCCAAGCTCTGCCTTCCTGCAACACAGGCTCTCCCCTTGAAGTTCACTGCAGGTAATTTCATCTCTAAGTGCTCATAGGTGCCTGGCTATCTACTTTTTTTGCTGCTTATTGCACTCAGGGAATCTAGGAAGACTCTTGAAATTGTTTGTTTTCTTGCTGCTTTGACAGACCATATCATCAGAAAGACACATGTAATATTCAAAAATATAATGGCATGGCTCCCAATATATCTACAGTCGATTTTAAATCTGTTCAAAAATATCTTGGTTTGTCTTTCATTTAATTATTAGCTGGTAACAGATCAATTATTCTACACTTTGCACTCAAAGAGTAATCTGTAAGTATTCACAAATGCAGGCAAATCTTTTAAAGTACTTTGAAAGTAGTGTGTGTGTGTGTACATATATAGTCAAACTAAAACTCCTACTTAATTTTGTGTGGTTTAAAATGCTGCTCATTACATATGAAGGGCATTATCTACAGTATAATCTAAGGAATTCTTTTTCTTAAAAACAGTGACTATGATCTTGGTTCAGGAAATCAATTAAATATTTTAGAATATTGGCTATCTTTCTGAAGATAGAAAAAATTGAACTAATAAAATATTTGCTGCATCTTGTATTACTTGTAGGGAGCAGTTGCTTTCCTTGTGTCATTGGAAATGATACAAACATGCATTATTACTTGCTTTCTGGCATACAGGCTAGAAATAAACTAATTATCTATTTAATGTATGCCCTTCCCTCTGGATCCCAGGTTTCAGCCCAGTGAGTTAAAGTCAGTGTCAGCTTTCAGGCTATGAGTTAAATCTCTGCTCCCCAAATGTCAGTAGGAGGTTTGCCATTACATTAATTTGGATCAGGATTTTACTCCACGAGTATTTTTTAGGTAAGATCTGAAATGCTGTGTTAAAAATTCAGATTAGAGAAATCTCAGCTTACGAGTACATAAGGCATTAATTTCTATCTTTATGTAAAATTATTTGGTCAATACCCAGAAGTGGTTTAATTAAGACTGGTTACAGCTTTTTCTTGCTTCTAAAAATTCAGCAATTCACATCTAGAATAGATTTTGTTTTTACTAAGAGAGAAACAGACTCCAGATATTTAGCTTATGACACAGATCTGATTTATTTTAGACCATGCATCGGTCTAGAGTAGATGGCTTAGGCTTCCAAAGTCAAAGGCTGGTTGTCTTAGAAGCCCTTCTAAGTGTACTAGAAAGTTATACATCAAGTTACATGTCATTGTGCATAAGGTTTTGTGAATGCAGATGTTTTTCCTCACAAAACAGATGAATACATTAGCCAAGGATTTCTTAAAAAGCAGCGTGTTGCTTCAGTGACAGCTAACCAGTAGTGCTTTTCAGCTGAAGAAATTCAGTTGTCTCTTGACGGGAAGAAGATTAGTAACCTCTTAATTCACCCAGCAACCTGCAGCTTACACCAAAAATACTATAGGCTATGTGTACTATGTAATAATCCACAGTATTTCATAAATGCTATGTCCCTTGCCACTAGGCTTTCAACTGGGGCAAAAAGAAAATAATACGAGATCACTATGTGAAAATATATTCTTGCTATTTCCACATCAACTTTTCAGCACAAAAGCAAGTTCAGACCATCTGAGTGGTGAAGAGACTGCCCAGTGTGGGTACCCAGGCTATGCAAAATTGGTTTTAGGCCAACTTTATTTTCTCCTGGTGGTGGAACGCTGTTGGGGCTGGTGTAGAGCAGAGTTTAGAGGCTAGTGTAGGTGCCAGGAGTCTCAAAAGGGCTATTTTAGAAGCCAGGATTACTGGGGCATAAAGGAACCAAAAAGCCCTTGCTCACTGACTGTCTTGAGCCAGTAACACACAGCAAGGGAGTGACAGAAGATGCTTATAGCATAGGAGATTCTCCCTGTTCTTTGGGAATATCTTTTTGACAAACTCCTCTGGAGTCCTGGACTCACACAGGTCTACCATGGTTTACCCATGCAGTGGTGTTAGAGTTTTGGGGAGACAACTGAAGGGCTGAAGATTCCTTTTTAAAGACATGATGCTGACAAATTAAGCTCAAAGTCTAAGCAGGGCCCTTCCAAGTGGCAACTCTCCAGGGCTGGACAGTTATAGCATTAACTTCTATAAATCTTTTCAGGAGCTTCTTGGGCTTCAAATACTTCCAACATTTCGTCATTCCTGTTAAACAGAGAAAATTGCAGAATCCTTTTTTGGAGGCCAGAATAATTATATTCTCAGAAAATAATAATAATAGTTTAAAAAAGAAAAGTTGGAAAACACTATATATGTTGGAAAACAGACCGCATGATAGAATTAATTAATTATCACAGTAAATACTGGCAAAAATATTAATACAATAAGCTTTCTTAGATGCAGTCCTGGAAAATGATGTTGATACAAAAAAGCACAAAAAGAACTTTTGAGAGATTTGTTTAGGACTCTTCTTCATAGCCAGAGAATAGCGTAATTTCAGCTATAAAACCTCTGCCAAGCTGTGTACATGTCTCACAGTAAAGCGTGCACTTCTTTATTTGCACGTCCCAAACAAAACCAACCGGAGCAAATGTTTTTGTTGCTTTACATATTTTGCTTTTACATCTTTCCATCATATTTTCTTGCTACTTCTATTCCTGTTAATTAGCATTCTGGGATATTTGGGAGGAAAAAATGGGAAAACAAGTGTCAAAGAAGTCTCTTCAACAATAACACTGATCACATTATTGCAGCCAGAAACTCACAAGACAACGTGAGCAGTGTGCTCATGCAGCTGGATACTTCAATGAATGGTTCAAATAAAGTATCTGTTGTTTAAAAATGAAGATTCTCCAGTGGACTAACACTTTACAGTAAAGCCCCCAATGAAGGTATGCTTTCCCTTTTTTTTAATGCTGTTTCTAAAGTTGTTGAGAGAAAACTTGAGATAAAATGTGAGGCATCCACCCTCACATCTCTATGTAAAGCAAAACAAAACAAAACAAAACAAAACAAGACAGACAGAATCCGGGACAATGTTATATGGATTCAGAGAAAGAAGAAACTCAAACTGATGAAGGTTCAAAAAGAAAATGAAAGGAAATATCTGTCTGGAAAACTGAATAAAGGAGATGCACTGTGTTTGGACCCGGATGGACCCTGTTTCTGACTCTCAGAATACCTGCACTTGGCAAGGCACTACACTGCCTTATCACTGTGTTTTAAGCTAATGCATGATGTTGGTGTTCACCATCTCTTAAATAAATTCATTCACCTGACAGAGTTCTCTCTGTTTGCTACATGGATAAAAGGAAACAGATTTAGTACCATTTATGATATGAAATTTATCATATAAATGTGTTGCTGGATTTATACTGAGTTTTCAGAAAGTCACAAAAAGAGGAAATCCAAAAGACTACTGGATGCAAGAGACTTTTTCTAAAATATGAGTTGTTGAAGGTTCATAATTTCAGTTTGAGAAACATTTTTCAAATCCTGTATTTCCCAAGAAGAAGAACTTAGATGTTAAATTAGTCAGCTCTTGAGCTGGAAACAACTTGGGATAGGGCTCAGTTGAAGCATAAGAAAATGTTTTTTTTTTCAATTTGCAGAAATTTTAAAGGCTTGGTGCACAGAAAAGCTAAATTTGCTGGAAAACTGTGACTCTCACAAAAGCATAGAGGAAAACACGCTTCTGAGATGGATTAATGAGGAAAATTGAGACAAGGACCTCTCTCTGAGCATGCCACTGGGATGGCTGACACAGAGTGAGACAGTGGGGTCTGGATGGATCATGGTACGCCTGATCATGAGGCCATATTATCATTCTCTTGCACACATACAAGTTAAATCAGGCTTGGACTTGCAGGCTGGAAGTGTGCAGGCTCCAGGGGTCATGCCCAGGAGCGCTGGATGCTCACGGGTGGCACTGCAGGTGCTGCTGACCAGGTTCCAGCTGCCGCTCACCCTTAGCTTGGCTCATCCAGTTTGTCACATGGGGATTTTTCTGGGTGTTCACATGCTGTGTGTGCAGGGAGGTGTGTCAGGGGAGGAGGATTGTCCTGTGTCAAGCAGAGCTGCTGCTGGCCTGCTGGCACTGCCTTGTCCCTCTGCAGCGGTCGGATGCAGCAGCGGGAGTAGGCTGCACCCCTGGCATGGGGCAGGGCAGCGCTCCAGACCAGCCTGGGCAGAGCGGGGAACTCAGGGCACATCTGTACCTGGGCGATGGCAAACCTCGAGTTTCACATCACTCTGGGCCACAACAGGACTTTTGTAGTGTATTTCAGTGGCTTTTAAAAAGTGGAGGCATTTCACACCATCAAATACATAAAAGGTTCTTTTTAAAACTAGATTTATATATTTATAAATCTAATATGAATCTACTTTTAAAAAGGAGGTTTTTAATCCTAGGTACTT